TATTTATAATACCTAATGCAATGTAAATGCTATGTACATAGTTGTTATACTGTATTGTTTAGGGAACAATGACAAGAAAAAAAAAGTCTGTACATGTTCAGTACAGATGCAACCACCGTAGGCCTTTCCACCCGCGGTTGGTTGAATCCCCAGATGCGGAACTGCAGATACAAAGGGCCGACTGTAATGTAATGCTATTCAGCAATGAAAAGGAATAAAATACTGATACATGCCACAACACGGATGAACCTCAAATACATTATGCTAAATGAAAGAGGCCACCTGTGAAATATCACACATCACATGATTCAATTTATATGAAATGTCCAGAGAAGACAAATCCTTAGAGACAGAACACAGATTAGCAGTTGCCTGGGGCAAGAGTGGGAACATGGAGTGATTGCAAATGGACACAAGGGATCTTTTTGGGATGATAGAAATGCTCTAAAATTTTATTATAGTGATGGTTGCATAACTTGGTAAATTTACTAAAAATTCATTGAATTGTACATGTAAATGGGTGAATTTCATGGTATATAAATTATACCTCAATAGTTATTTAAAAAAATTTTTTTTAAACCTAGGCAAAAAAATTAATTTTCTAAATCTATAAATGATTGCACCATTTTATGACAAAGTAAGACAGGATTTTGTCCATTGAGGGAAAACTCAAATGCTTCAGTTATCAGATGAGCAGATAAAAAGAGCTGACATTCTATTAGTAAAGGCGAGAAACCTATCAAATATTCTTCTCTAGAGAATAATCTCAAGTTACAAGGGTACCTACAGGACTATTCTCAAGGGGGAGTTTTAAATGTACTTTAAGTACATAAACAAGTGACCAATAGAAACCCCACAGCAATCCCTGACAGAAATTAGTGCTTCTCAAACTATCTGTAGCGAAGGACTAGTTCCCCCACCGCCAATCTGTTCCAGGCTAATACTTTCATAAAACACAATAAAAATTATCGTGAAGATGTCAAATCGCTATAAAGTCTCTAAATCTTAAATCTCAATTTCTTTCTTTACCTTGTTGCAAACCAGTAACAGTGTGTAGACGAGCACTGATCTGTGGACCACACTTTGAGTAGCACTAATATAAGGCACAGAAAAAGATGATTACCAGCAGGTTATTATCCAGCCTTCATACTCATCCATTCATTTAACAAATATTTATTGAGCATCTATGTGCTAGAGTAATACCTCAGGATTGATCCTGCAAAATATCTGATTCTGAGCAACAGAGTCCATGCCACTCTACTCTAAGTTGGGGGTCACGTATCCCCAGGTTGCCGAAAGAGGTGGCCTGCTAAATGGGGTTGTTTTAAATTGGCCATGTATATTCTGCAGAGCAATTTTAGGTTTGACATAATGTGTTTAAATCTTTCAACAGTATTTTGGCATCAACTCCTTAATGCTCCCACAGCACACTCCTGAATCCATTTATTCAACAGAATACAATAATTATATAATATCTAAATAAACAATTATTTAATGACAGCCAAGTACTACTCTGGACGCTAAGCATAAAACAGAGAACGAAACAGACAACCCCTCCGATAGCCTGCCCTCAAAGAGCTTACATTCTAGCAAGGAGAGAGACAATAAACCAAATGAATACCTAAAATATATTGTAGTCAGATGCTGATAAATAATACGGGAAAAAATTAAGCAGGATGGAGGGAGTTAGGATGTTCAAGATGGAGAGAGAGGGAGTGGGGGTGGATAGCAGGCTTTGCAATTTTAAATAGGGTGGCTAGAGAGGGCCTCACTGACAAGATCATATTTGAACAAAGATCTGAACAAGGTGACCAAGTGACCCAAGCAGATAACAGGCAAAGAGGGTTCCGGAAAAAGTACAAAAGCCCCCAGGCAGAAACGTGCTTAGGGAAACAGCAGAGTGTGGTAGTACTTACTCTTTTCATACTTCTGCAATAGCAATACCCAATTACTCTAAAATCCTTCATTTGACTCTCAGTGCTTTGAGGGTGGAATCAAACCTTAATCACGTTTATTTATATCCCCAGCTCTCACTTAGTGAGTGATGAAATTGTTGAAACTATAGTACTGTTACATCATTACAGTACAAACATGTTCATTCGTTTCCCCAACATCCTCCCTCCCATGAACTTGCTCCTGCATGTTGTAGGACCATAAAGACATTGCTGCCCACCAGTTAGAAATGCCCATTACCCTAGACTCTTCCTCCTTCACTCACTCTCCAGTCAGTGACTAAATCCCGTCAATTCTTTTTTACATCATTTAGTGCCCCCAGATGGTCTCCTTTTCTGCAGCCCTTCCTCCCAGATAATTCAAATCAAAAAGAAATTTGCCGTTTTTTTTTTTTGCTGAGGAACATTAGCCCTGAGCTAACATCTGTTGCCAATCTTCCTTTATTTTGTTTTGTTTTTTTTTTTTGCTTGAGGAAGATCAGCCTTGAGCTAACATCTGTGCCAATCTTCCTCCACTTCCTATGTGGGTCACCACCACAGCATGACTGACAAGTGGTCTATGTCCGCACCCAGGATCCGAACCCATGAACCCGGGCCGCTGAAGCAGAGCGCACGGAACTTAACCACTACACCAGGGGGCCGACCCCTGCCTTCATTTTTGAATATATTAATTTTGAATTCAACCTCATTTTCTATATAACCTGTATGTTTACAAAAATTTAAGCCAATCATTACACATTTTTATTCAAATTTGACACTGACAGTTTTTACAATAATTTGAGAACTACTATGCAACATAAGTTCAAAGGTTAGTATTGAGGTCCAACAATAGATTTGTACATGCCGATTACTCTCATAGAGATGTTTCTAGAGATTCCAGCCAAACAGCTTGCATATTCAATTCTCCTTTGTAATTTCAATTGGACATGGTATTCTTCACTTTCCACTGTGAGGTCTACTGCTGAGTGCCAACCACTGCTAAGTCCCACCACATCACAAGGGAAAGGCAGCTTTATACTTCCGGGTATGCAATTTTAGTTATCACGCAGAATGAGTATACACAGGTACCCACTGTCTTACTGGCTACAGTACGGAAGGATATGTTCTTTGGTAATGAAGTAAATCTAATTTGTCCTATTCACTTACACAACCCATCTTAAAGTTTCTTAAGCACTGTGGAGTGGAGCAGACAGGATTTGGAATTTAAAAAAAAAAAAAATCCCAGATTTCAGTGGTATAGTTTTGTGATCCCAGGTAACGTTTAACCTGAGCTTCAGTTTCCTCCTTTTGTAAAATGAGAATAATAATATTCTCACTGAGTAGTTGCAAGAACAAGTGGAAATGCCAAACAAATGCTGGTAGTTGTTACACACGGCAAAACCACCTAGAACACGGCTGTTTTCAGGGCTTTTTGAAACTACTACCAGCAATTCAAAGTCAGCAAGATGGGGTAGAGAACATCTACATAGTTAAATTATCTTAATAGTCAGATAAAAATAAATAACTATGTATTGTGGAGAAAGCATAAGAATTTAGATCTTCAAAGTACCAATCGTGTATTCTTTCCAGAAGACACTGAAGGAAAAAAGATTTTACTCACACATGGTTGCATACTCGGGTAAACCTCAAACAATAACTTGCTTTAAACCAAGAACTAATTAATGGCAACAGTCTGCAAACAATAGCATCTTAGTGGGCAGTTCTCAATTTCAGTAAAATGTGCAAGAAACTAAGCAAGACTTAATTTGCATATAAATCTTGTCTTTTCATTTTAAAAACATCCCAGAAGTTCTTTGGGGAAACCAGAAAGGGAAAGAAATCGGACCTCGGTTGATCGCAGGAACTGGTCCTCACATGGACCCTGCGGCTATACATTATACACAGGAAAAGAGCAGGGACTCAAGGAAGGAGTGGTGGCTCCTGTGCGTGGTCTATTAATTCACATTTTGCTCTCTTCTGTTCACATCCTGCGCGGACTCCACCCAAAGCGATCGAGCGAGGGGGTGGGTGGGACGCGCAGCCTAGCAAATAACAGTCCCAGAAACCGAAACGGAATCGAGGTGAATTGTGAAAACACGGCTCAGCAGAAAGCGGGGTGGAGAAGGGGCGCGAGAGGGGACCCTTCTTTCGGCTGGTGAGGCATCCCCGGCCTCGGGGCTTCCTGGGGGCACCCCCTCCTCGCCATCGCCACCAGTCTCCTCCTGTCCTACACAGGGGAGGAGGAAGGCACCATGCACAGAGCAAGGCCACTCATCCCCGGAACGTGGGCGGAGAGCACACAAGTATTCCTCAGAGATTCGAAAAGAGAAACTGAGGGGCGGCAACCTGGGAGAGGCGGAGGAAGGGAAACTGACTGCAGAGCGGGGGACCCGCGAGACGGTGGGAAGGAACGAGTCGGCAGCCCGATGGGGCCGGCGCCCCCGGAGAGAGGGGCTACCTGTTGAATGGAACCGGCCCGGGGAGGCGGAGGGAGAAGCGCGGAGAGGGAGCCCAGAGGGCGGACCGTCGTCTCCAGGGCCAGTGCGGTCGCAGCCCCAGCGCCGCGGCCCCACCCTGAGAAGCCTTGGCTGCCGAGTGATGAGAGACACCGACAGAAAAGGGGGGGCGGCCGACCGGAGCCGGTCTAGCCCGCTCCCGCACGCAGTCACTCACATCTGATACTCGTCTATCGCCTCCACCAGCTGGCCCCAAGAGTCGAAGTCGGCGCCTCTCCTAAAACTGGCGCCCCAGCGCTGCAGCAGACTCCGGGTCACCTCCGACATGGCCGGTCCCCACCCCGACCCCTCCCGCCCCGACCCCAGCGCAGCCGGGCTCTAGGGCGCCATCCTCCCCGGGCCTGGCCCCGACATTAACAGGGCCAGGAGCAACCGCTACGGCCACCACCGCCACCCGCCGAGGAGCCGCCCAAGCCCATTTGCCGCCACAGCCAAACTTTGCGGCTCCGAGGCGGCCGCCCCGCCGAGGCTCCGCCCCCGAGGCCCCGCCCCGCGTTAGGTTGAGGCCGCCCCGCTCCCCCGAGCGGCCGCCATTGCTAGTGCGGCAGTCGTCCTCGGCTTGCGAGACCGGGCAGCCTCTGCTCTTCCTCCCTGGAGGAGCGACTGCAGCTCAAGAGGAAAAAGTAGGGAGGAGGAGCCAGGAATGGGCTGAGGAACGGAGTGTTGGAAGCGGGCTGCGACAAGGCGGCGGCCTCCGCCCCGAAGCGGTGCGCACTGCCGCCTCGGTAGCTGTCATGGCCGCCCGGGTCACGTGACTGCGACTCGGCGCAGGCCTGGATCCCCGTCGCTCTAGTTCAGTAGCCTCGGTGCTCCGAGACCCTCCCCTTCTCGCTTGCGGACTCGCACACTGCCTTTCTTCCCTCGGGGGGACTGCTGTACAGACTCCGAGGAATCCGGTAAGTGTGTCATGAGGATGGGCGTTTCCAGTAATATCCCTATCCCTGTCGTTCCCCCGGAGTCCCAAGCAGTAGGGTCACCCCCTTATACACAGTGTCCGGATAGTGGTCCAGAAGTCTCCTTCTGATGCCTTGAAACAAACGAAAGAAAATCCCCATTGGCCCCACGAATCGAGCTAGATTCGCCGAACCCCTTTACCCCGTCTCCACTGGCAGTTGGGGGGTCTTATAAACTACATAGGGGCTCGTTCTGCCGCCGTCTGCCTGCCTCTGCCTGGTAGATAGTATCGGCTTTCCACAGAAATGTCTGTTCAGCAGGAGGGGCGCGCTGGGTTGCGCCTGCGCACCGTGGCCGCCGCCTCCTCGCCCGGGACGGGGCACGGGAGGAAGAGGCTGGGTGGTAAACAGGAAGTGGACGCTCAGAGCTCGGGGCGGCGGTCAGGTAGGTTCCTCCGGGGACCCGGGGTCTCCGGGGCGGGGGGCGCTTGTCAGTAATCGGTGTCTTCCTGTGGAGTCGGGGTGAGTGGCAGCCTCGATCAGGCTGTTGTGCTGGTGGCTCTAAAGGCACCCTCGCAGCTGCGGGTGGGTGTGTCGTTCTGCCACCCCACCCTCCCGATTCCTGAAAACTGGGTCTGAGAGCCGGGAAAACGGGGCAGGGGCAGAGAATCAGCAGTCACCGCCTTCGTTCCTGAAGATAGAAACTCAGACATTTTCATCCAGGAAGAGGGAGGCCGCCTTGGAAGAGTATTTTGTAGGAATTTTGCTGTCATAAAATCAAGTCTATTGTGTGCCATTATCTCTAGACGGCTTGATTTATATGCACGTAGATGCTGTATTCGTTTACTTATGTTATAAAGGAGGTGTACATGGGTGATGTTTAACTATTACTTATATTTGCTTTAAAAGGACTTGTTAAATGTTTTGAGTCATCAATGAACTTGCTCAATTTTTCATTTTGTACACGATGCATTTTTTCTTCATTGGGTACCTAGTGATCTCACAAACCAGTTTTGTCCTGAATAAGTAAATATGGTCAGGGAGGTGCTTAAAGCAGGTATTTCATACACTGCAGCTCACTTTTTTTCCCAGCAAGAAAAGTTGATCAATAACATCGTATAATGACTTCAAATTAATTAACCCGTATCAGAATTTCTTTTCTGTTATTTCTTGGAATCCAATTGCCATATTTAAGTCTTCAGGTAGGCCTTCCTGTATTATTTTCACTGTCTGCCCAAGGACTTTTAGGCAAGGAAAATACTACTTTTTTTTTTTTTTAATCCTAAAAAGCATGGAACTTAATTTTTTAAAGTTGGCATTTCACTTAGGTAGTTTTTCAAATATTTTCGTTTTTAGGATAGAAGTTATTGATCAAGTATCATGTCTTTTTATCATGAAAATATTGATTCTTAGTAGCTATTCTGTGGAAACTATGTTTATTATAAAACACATGCTATAATCAGTCAGTTGGTGTCAGCAGCATCATATGGGAAGTACAGATCATGTAAAACCTATTTCTTTCAAGTAACCTTAGCAGTCTAAAATATGGGTCACTGTTGGAACCTGTTTTGGAAATTACATTGGTCTGGTCCCATGCCCTTCTCACTTGCAGCTGTCCAACCAAAGGCTAGTACTTTGCTGCTCAGAAGTGTAGTCTGGGAACCAGCAGCAGCAGCATCTCAGTTCCTACCCCCGGACTGTTGAATTAGAACCTGCATTTTAACAAGACCACCCCACCCAGGGTGGTTTTTGTGTACATGAAAGTTTAGCATTACTGCTCCAGTATTTTTAACATTGCAGTTACTGTGGGCAAATTTCCAAATGCTGTTTTTTTATAGGCTTGATCTAAACATAGGCTACTATAAATAGACAATTAAAAGAAGATTATTTATGGCAATGAATTAATTTGTTTATATATATGTATGTTTTACATATACTTTATATAAAAATGTATTCTGTAGTAAACTTTTATTTTAAAAATAATTACTTTTATACTATTTACACTGCTTATTAAATGTTTTATCTTTAATTTTTATATCTTTCTTTTTTGTCGATAGGAAACATCTGGAGAAAATGACACATTGGTTTCATAGGAACCCATTAAAGGCCACCGCTCCTGTCTCTTTTAACTACTATGGCGTAGTCAGTGGCCCCGCTGCTTCAAAAATTTGCAGGTAAGTTTTGGTCAATCTCAGCAAGTATTGATGGGCCACCTTTGAATGCAAGGTACTTTTTTACGTCCCATGGGCAACACAGAAGTATGTAATGCACTGTCCCTAACCTTAGACTCCTTGTAAACTTATAAATGATTCTGAAGATTTACATCATAGACTGTTTAAACTTTGGCAGTCGTCTAGGCCAGGGTCCTTGATTTTAGATCAGTAAGTGAGTCCCAGAGAGGCTAAAGCAATCACAACAGAAGAGTTAAGCTATGTATTACAAGGGTGCAAGAAACTCTGTGAAGTGGTACATGGGTATTGTTAGTTGGCCAGATAGTAAATTCATTGAGTTCTGAGCAGGAAGAGACCCCGTGACCTGGAATAGCCTTGGAATGACCTGTTAATGTAAGAGACGGACTTGAGCTGGGTTTTAAATAAATGGTATGGCTTAGATCAGGAGTTTGCAAACTGTGTGCCACAGATTTGGCCCACTGCTTATTTTTATAAAGTTTTATTGAAACACATCCCCCCCCCCTTTATTTACATGCTGTCTCTGGCTGCCTTTGGCTGCTTTCCTCTACAGCAGCAGAGTTGAGTAGTCCCAACAGAGACTTTTCGACCCATAAAGCCTAAAATATTTACTTTCGGCCCTTTACAGAACAAGTTTGCTGATCCCTGATTTAGATAGTAAGAAAGGAGAGGAGGAAGTCATTTCTGTCAAGAAAACCTTTGTTCTAGGGACAGTGAGGAGAGCAGTTTGACTGGAACAGAAGAGAGAGACGCAAGAGATATTTCAAAGGAGGAGTCGACTGGTCAGATTGACTGATTTGCTCTGGGAAGTTGAAAAGGATTCAGTCTCTAAGATACAGAACCTAGATGATCAAGACATTGATGGTACCAGTAACGGAAAATCAAGAGAGTTGCCGCGTTTTGTGGAAAGAAGTAATAGGAGCAGTAGGTAGGAAAACTGGCTTATTAATCTAGATCAGGGGTCAGTCAACGTCTTTTGTAAAGGACTAAGCAGTGAATATTTTAGGCTGGTGGACTACATACAGTCACTGGTGCCTTTTCTTCTTTGTTCATTTTTACAAAAATAAGCTGTGGGCCGTACAAAACCAAGTTACAGGTTGTAGTTGGCTAACCCCTGATCTTAAGCTTCTAGAGGTTGGTCCCAGCTTAACTTTTATCTGTAGCATTGGGCAAGTCTCATAACTTCTTTGGGTCTAATTACTCATCTGTAAAATGAACAGCCTAAATTAGATATTTCTAAGGTACATTTTTCTCAAATTCCTTAATTTTAAGATAAATACAACTTTACAGAAGTTGGGTTGCAAGTGATGTTTGAGCGCCTACCCGGAAATATCTAGCAAACTATTTGAGTCTAGAGTAAGCCTTAAGAATTCAGATTTTTTCCTAGTCCAGGAATTACTCCTTCCCAGTTAAATAACTCAACAAATTCATCAGGTAGCCCATCCCATTTTGTTCAGCTGTCTGTAATTGTTGGTATATACTTTATTGGATTATCCTTAGAGCTAGTACCAGTGAAAAAACAGTCCATCTAGACCATTCAAGATTAAGTCTGTGCTCTCTTCTAAACATCACTCTACGTTACAGCCCTTCTCACTCTTAAAGTATTTGAAATGTTAGTATTCTTTCACTCAACAAAGAATTTTGAGTGCATGCTTTGTCCTAGGCGCCTACTAAGTTCCGGGTATACAGTCCCTACTCTCTTGGTGCTTACAGTTCAAATTTAGTCTTTCTTTAATCATTTACATGTGAGTGTCTTCAATCATTGTCTGAAATATGATTTCTAGAACCCTCACTAAGCAAGTTGCCTTCTGAAATCAGATGTAGAACTGGGACAGGACCAAGTCAGAGCTGATGATGTACATCTAGGATTGGGTGTAAAGTTCTAATAGATGAGACCTCAAAAGAGGGAAAAGTGAAAAGCAAAGCCTGAACATTTTTGGAGGTGGGAATAAGAAGGACACATAGGAAAAAATATAGAAGGAACTTTTAGAGATAAGAGGAGAACCTGGAAAATTTAGTGTTGTTGGAATCAAAGGGGAAGAGAATTTTCTCAAGAAGGAAAGGGTGGATCTGCAACATTTATTGCTGCAGAGACGTAAAGGAGAGTGGAGACGAGGGAGCAGTTTTAAAGCAACTGGTGGCCACGTGTTTTTACGTATTCTTTATGTGGATGTTGAATTACAGAATGCAATTTCATTTTTAAAATGTGGTTTTCTACTTAATAAAGTATATTTTGATATAATGTCAAATTTTGACATTTTAAGGAGATACTAAAATCGTGCACAAACGTATTAAATTTCCATTTTTCAAAAAACTCACTGTGAACTGGTCAGTTTAATTTACTTATTCCTAATTCCTCCCTCCCATCTTAAATGTTCGTGTTTGATATTTTAAATTAAAACTTGCTGTATATTTTTATTACATAATTGTATCTGTAATTTGCCCCTTTAATTGGACTGAGTTTATTTTAGAACAACTTTTAGAACAGTTGTTACTGGAAATTTCACTTACCTCCAGTATTAGTTAATTAAATTCATTCCTGTGTACTTAGTATGTTTTTTTTTGTCTCCTCTAAGTGACTTGAGATCGTCCAGAGCACGGCTGCTTGAATTGTTCACTGATTTGAGCTGTAATCCAGAAATGATGAAGAACGCAGCAGATGCATATTTTTCACTTTTACAAGGTTAGTTATTTATATGAACCTTGGAATTTTTAAAAAGCCACTACACAGAAGTTCACATTTAATTCTTAGACTTTTCACATTTGAATAATTTAGTTTTATAGGCTATTTTTACTACGCTTGAGTTTCAGAAATGTGAGAATGTAAGGATGGTATGTGGTCTTTCTGACATTTTGGAAATTAAATGTGTACATATTTCATATTATGTTACCTTAGGAGAGGGTGCAAAATATAGAAAGGGAGACGGGGGCTAGGAGTTTCATTCAGGTACCTGGAAAAGTCATTATCTGAAAAATTTTCTAAATAGGACACTTGATATTTCTTCTAAAATGGAAATATTTTGTATCTTTTTATAGGTTTCATAAATTCATTGGATGAATCTACCCAAGAAAGCAAGTTACGATATATTCAAAATTTCAAATGGACTGATACATTGCAAGGACAAGTTCCAAGGTAGGCAGTGCTGACTACTAAATTGAAGCCATTTCTGTAAATTTTTAGCTAGTGGTTAATCCTTAGCCTCTGTTATTTGAAGAAATAAAATATAGGTCTGATCAGCATTTTCTCTTATCAGGAAATTAATTGAAAACATTTGACCTGATACATTCTGTTAAGTAAGAATGTAATTTATTTCTCCTGGACCAAATCTATTTTTGAGATAATCAATACAAATATTAACTAGAATTGAACAGCCTTGGCTTTTAATAACACGCAAAGAATGGTTTGGAAATTTGGAACCTAAATGTGTCTCTCAGTCTTTGCCTACATTCAAGCAGAGCAGAATTGTGGGTTCTCCCTGCTTCTCTTTTCTGACGGGTAGTTCAGACGTCTTGGGTCAGTCTCTTTCTCTCTCACTTTCTCCCAGGTTCCACCCAGCTCCATACTCTCGATTCACACTGTTTGTTTTCTTCCTAATTTCTCTGCACCATTTCTGCTCTTTCTAAAAACTTCCCCGAAGAACTTTCTCATCACTCACTTGAAACTGTTTAGAAGAGATCTAATTATAACAGGAAACAGATCATAATGGTGCTAAATTTAACTTTTTTTTTTTACACTTTGGGTGGTTTAAATGGTCATATATCTTTATCTCAATTTGCTTTGAAATTACCGTTTTGTAAAACCAGAAGGGAAGGAACTGGAGATTGCTGAAGAGCAGGGCGGGCCTTACAGAGGAAAAGTATGGACTTTGGATTCATACATATCTAGGTGCAATCTCAGGTCTTCTACTGTGCGTACATCTGCAAAAGCAGATGTATGTTGGGGTTCCAGATACAGGGCTTTTGTGAGGAACAAAATGGGAAAATTTATGTTAAGTGACTAAGATAATGTCAGGCATACAACAGACATTCAATAAATGTTAGTTTCCTTCCTTCCTTGGGAATATTGTACTAGAATTCGTAAACTGGGTAGGAAGTTGGGGACTATGGCTCCTTTCCAAATTTTAATATTCTGGGATATGGAGGTTTTCCAAGTCCTCGTTTTCTGCTTTTCTTTATGTGACCTCTTTGTACTTTATCTAAAATTAAGCAGTACTTTTCTTAAAAAAGACTTTTTTTTTTGTTAAAGAATCAAGCCTGTATCATTATTACTTTACAAAACTGCGGCAGATTCTGAAGTGTTTTGCATTACATAAATTTGGCACTTTTTCCCCACCATGCCAAGTTTCGATTCCTTGTAACAGCATTTTTCAGCATAGTTTTATGAGACAATGAAGAATTATGTGGTGAAGGCCTTAAGTAATAATACTGAATATTCATTACATCTGAGATTTTTAAATTGCTGTATTCTTGATTGCTGCTTATTCAGTAGAAGGTGCGCTGTGAGTATATCTGTTCTGAAAAATATTTTTTCAACTGTGTATACCATGACTACTTCTTCGATGTGGTATAACAGTAATGGAGTGTTTGGGGGCAAGGCAGATTGAAATAAAGGATAAAAAGGGAGAGAGTTATTCACAAAACGTCATGTAAATTAGCAAAACTACCTTATTATTTAAAGGTAACGTTATAAATTAGGTATGCCTACTAGATTATCAGATGTAATTCATTTGAAAGTTTTCAATGCTGAAAAGAATAAGCCATTAAACTATGCATTATATATTTTTTCAGCAGGGTAAAACTTTTAAAATGTTCATAAGTTGTTTGTATATTATAACATATATTAAAACAGGAGAGTTTATAAGTTTTTTTCTTTTTTTTTTTTTGGTGAGGAAGATTGGCTCTGAGCTAACATCTGTGCCCATTTTCCTCTTAGTTATCTTTGAATTACTATATGTTTTATAATAAATCTTTTTTTTAGTGTAAAAAGTTTCTGTGTCTCCATTCCTTTTAAGATGTAGGCAAAATTTAAATAAAAAATACAAAGTAGAGTCATGATTCTAGTTTCTTCCTTTTGGGTCACTTTTCTGTATCTTAGTATTATTTATGTAAAATAAGGGTATTCTGGTTTATTATTTCATCATTGGAGATAAATGAAAATTTTCAGTGTTTTACCAAAACAATAGTGATTAAAAATTAGTATCTTATTTGCTTAAAAAGCTTTTGCCATCTTCTTTGTGTCATATTTAGTAATAGAGTCTGAAAGAAACAAGACATAAAATATACTTGTTTTTAAGAGCTTTTTCTTCGTAGAATACTGATTGGTTTGGCTTTCAAAGTCTTCTGCAGTTTCCCTTCAGCTTGGCTTTTTGCCCATCTTCCCTGCTGTTCCAGGCAAGCTGGTTGGGTCACTACTGTCAGAAAAATCTTCATACTTTCTTGTGCTTTAACAGCGTCTTTCCCTCACCTGGGATGTCCTTCTGCTTCCCTTCCAGCCATCTTTTCACAGCACAGTTCAGGTTCTGTGTATAGCGTTAAGCTTCCTTCAGTCATTTTTGCCTGAAATCATCTCTCCTCTGAATACCATTTTCTTAAATAAACTGGATACTTGTTAAAATGTGGATTCTGGGCCCCTCCCAGACTTTCTGACTTTCTGGGGTTGAGTCCCAGAAATCTGTATTTTTAAAACTATTCTGTGTACAATAACCTTTGGGTTACTATTCCCGTGTTTACTATTATGAAGTACTTACTGGGCCATTACGTTTAGTCATTCATTGTTAATTATGTGTATGTGTTTTATATTAAACCCGAGCACTGTTTTCTTCATTTTTCCAGTTAGCATATAGTTCTTCATAATTTTGAGTTGGATCTGCAGTAGGCTTCATGTACAGTTGTCTCAGAAATTAATGGAATTTAACAATCATGTTTATAATTCTAGTGCCCAGCAGGATGCTGTTTTTGAATTAATTTCCATGGGATTTAATGTAGCTTTATGGTATACCAAATATGCTTCAAGACTGGCTGGAAAAGAAAAGTAAGTTAAAAGGGGAGGGTTATATGCATTCGTATTATTTTTCAAATATATGAAACTTCATTATTAAAAAGTCTAGGCTATTGATAAAAAGTACCACTTCTGATGTGAAAGGTTGCCTCATAATGTTAGAATTTTAAGTATCAGAATGTTAGAGTCCAGTGTTAAAAGGGTGAAAAAATTTTAATATTCTCATCATGGGGAAGGTCTTTCTAAATATAAAGCCCCAAACCAACAAAAGGAAAAGATTGAATATTTGACTACATAAAAGTACCGTAAACAAAGTTAAAAAATAAATGACAGATTGGTCAAAACTATTGCAGTGCATATGACAAATTGTTTTTATAATGTATACTTTTGCAAATCAGCAAGGAAAAGACCAACATATTAATTGAAAATAAGCAAAGGATATTAACAGGTAATTCACAGGAAAAGAAATAGAGGCTTATAAGTATGTCAAACGTGTTTTGAAGGATTACAGAATTGTGAAATAAAGTGAGATATAATTTTTATAATAGTAAAAGTGGATATTCGCAATATGAAACTGGCAGCTACCCACTATGATGCATCTGAACGTGGGAATAATATGCAGCCATTTAAAAATGAAGTTGCATTGTATGTGCTGATGTAAATTTATCTCTAGAGTAATTTAGGTGATTAAAATGAGCAGAGCAGTGAATATTGTGTTCGGATGTGTATTTTTAAAGTGCATGCATTAAGTGTGTAATATTTTATGCTTGTTTATGCACAGAAGAGTATCTGGAAGAAAAAGTAAGCCTTTGTCCATATCTCTAGACAGGGTCTCTGTTTTTTCATTTGTAGTATCTTCTTTCTGGATATTTTTCATGTGCATTTGTTACTTTTTTAAGTGTCAAATTAGGTTTTTTTAAAAGGAAGGAAATAGTGATGAGAAACACAAATGAGTTAATTTGGTTTTATGATAATCTATTAGTTATTGGTTTTGATACCAGAAACAGGATTTATCCTCTAACTAATGTAACCACTGTCTTGAAGCATAACAGAAGATGAAGCAAAAGAAGTCCATCGGAGCCTAAAAATTGGAGCTGGGATTTTTAAACATTTAAAGGTAAAATCATAATACAGTAATAATAAATTATATTCTTAATGCTTTAGTTCTTGAATAATTTTTCTTCCTTTCTTTCTTTGGGGGGCGAGGGGAGGGAATTATTTCATTATGTAAAAAGAACTAGTATGTGTTCTGTTTTCCTTATGTTAAGTACCTTGTTGATGAGTGCAGCCAATTACAGAATATTAACTGTCTCCATTTTAGATCACCAGCGAGTTTTACAGTGAGAAAATTCAAGTTGGAATTCACTGCTCATTTTTCTGTCTCTTCTAAAAAGATAGGAGAAAGCAAAGCACAAAAACTCATGGTTCTTACCATTTCCCATCGCTGTCTGCAGCGGTTGCCAGGGGCAGTCATGAGCCTGCAAACTTTTCTCTGTATTCTCTGCATCTCAGTGAAAACGCTGGAAGGGCGATCAGTACATACTACTTAGGTAAAATTGCCTGAAGATGTGGTGGGAAGTAAGGGAAAGACTAAGGTATTTTCCAACCAGAAATAACCCTACCTCATTCCAATTAAACTGCTGTTTACTGAAGGCCTCCTGGAGGACATTGTTGGGTTTTCTCATGATAAAGTAAGATGCTTTTACAGTGATTAAAAAGCTATGATTCTGAGTTAGCTCTAGAATTGTCGTCGTCTTTATATCTGCAGTTATTAATGTGAGTGAACAATTCTGGCCGTCCTTTAAAAGGGAGCTTTGGTTACTGTTTCAGATAAACGTTTTCTAAGATGAAATTATGATTTGCGTATCTAAGCAATCTATTATGATCCAAATTTTACTCTTAAATTTCTTGCTTTTACAAAAGGTTATAAAAAACTTTAGAAGTTTTCGTCTATAGGAGCTTAATTCTCTCTAAGCTTAATATTGCTCCCTTTTATACAATTTTTGTACCCCAAATTTCTGATAGATCCTCAAATTGAATGTTTCATAGCTTCCCCTTTCTTCATCTTGAACAACTGGGTTAAAATAAAATTTGGCCTGTTTGGTTTTTGTTTTTTTTTTTCTCTCTCTCTCAGGAAAGTCATATTCCAAAGCTTATAACACCTGCAGAAAAGGGGCGGGATTTAGAGGCACGACTCATAGAAGCTTATATTATCCAATGTCAGGCTGAAGCTCAAGAAGGTATCCTAAATGTTGTGTTTTTTTTGTTTTTTTGAAGAAAATCTATATTGGCGTTTAATTCTTTTTTTTTTTAAATCAGAATTAGCTTGAATTGAGTGTCAGGTTTTGAGAAATTTATAATGAGGAATAATTTTACTATTACCATTTGCCTTCAGTTTTAGTTAGCAGGAAAAGGCCTTCCAGTTTAATGGCTCTTTTTAAGAGGATTTTGATTTCATGCCATTTCTGACAGCATGAAATTAATTCTGCAACTCATCTTTTCCCCCTCAACCTTACTCATTCCTTTTCCTCTTCCATTATTCGGCTGACCTTGAACTCTTCACCTTTCAGTGGCGGGACATAAATGAAGACTTATGTGAAAACAATCAAGAAACTTTGTAGGCTTTTGTTTTTCTTTATTTCAAACTCTGGTGCCCTGAAAGTACTTGTTTTCTGTTAACACTATGCTATTTTGTAGTAGTATTTTTCTGTGATTAGCTAGTAATTGGCTAGTAATTTATTTAAAGAAATGGTATGAGAACCAACAAGATGAGTGTTTTCTGTTTGTTTGCGTTTTCCGTAACTTACATTTCATGTGAAAATTTAACAGACTATTAACAGCCCAGATAGATTGTCAGACTGCCTTTTGCTGTTACAGTTGAACTTAGGGTGAATGCGAATGAACTTAATTACACATTCACTTTATTGTGTTTATGTAACAGTAACAATTGCTCGAGCAATTGAACTGAAACACGCTCCTGGACTAATTGCTGCACTGGCATATGAAACAGCCAATTTCTATCAAAAAGCTGGTAAGTTTATAATTCTGTTGTTCCATTTTTAGTCTTTAGAGTTTCACATTAAGCTCTTGCCTTAATAGGAACAAGCAGAACAAAAAGATTCTCAGATTGTTTCATCATAGCAAAACTGGGACAATATCTGCATTATTTTATTAATCTTATGAAAAAGAAAATAATTAGAGCTGTTTACAGTTAATATGTTACATAACTTGTAATGGAAAGGATGGTGCTGTACTTTGTAACCAGTTATATCTAATAATGATGCAGCTGTTTTGCTTTTGAAATTTTTTTGGTCTTGATAACAACCTTATAGTTACAGCGAGAAACTGAAATCTAGAAAATTTAACATAACTAACCCATAATTGAACTGCTAGCAGGTGGGAAGCTGGGACTAGAAGTCAAGTCTTCTCATTAGCTTATTATTCTTTTCATTAACTTATTTAGGAAAGATCCATATGTTTCTATTTATGAGGTGGTTACTATTTTAGTTGCTGAGTACACAGAGATCATTAGAACAGATTCACAGTCTCGGGAAGGAGACATATGTGACGACAGTATTATAGCATGAAATAAGATTGTTACAGCAGTGAAATAAAAACCTAAAGTTTAGGGTCTGGGCGTGCTAGAGAGGGCTTCCTACAGGAAGTTGGTGTTTTAGCCTTATTTTGAAATATAATAGAAGCTCTAAGTTTGGTAGAAAGCTTTAGTGTGTGGGAAGAGTAGAACATTCTGTAGTATGTACAGAGATAAAGAACTTAGCACATTCTGGGACCTTTAGACCGATGCTCTGAGCTGAACCAGAGTGATTGATAGGAGAAAAGGTTAGGAAATGGATTGTAATCCTATCTAAGAATTTGGCCTTTAGTCAGTAGATATTTGGGACCCATTAAAAAATATAAAGTAAATGTGACTTGATTGGATTTGAATTTAGGAAAGTTCCCTGTGGTTGCAAGATGAGAAATGGGCTTGCCAGGTGTAGGAGTAGCAGGCTGACTTGACTTAGCACTTAGGAAGACATGATTATAGTCTGTGGAGGAAGCAATGAAAACTTCAACACAGTGAAGTAGGAAATGGAGAGAAAGAGATCCATCGGAGAGATGTTTGGCAGGATATGTTGTAAGTGTGTATTTTATACAAGATTCAGTGATAGGGTGGTGAATGAGGGGAGAGTATCCTTTGTGTTTCTGACTTGGGTGACTAGAATACTCTGCATTGCTGTATTATATAAATTTTAAAAACTAGGTAATAGCATAATTCATATTTACCTTGAAGTTCTCAGTTATATCTATTTTTATCATTATCGTAAACTTAAGTTTCATTAACCATCAAATCAAAGGGGTGCTATGGTATCTAACCAGTCTTACTATGTAGTTAAAATATAGTTATGGAAAAATAAATCACTTTAAATAAAGCAAAGTTTTAAGAAAATGTGTAAATGCTTGAGTTGTGGACTTGAATGGCATTCTGCTTTTAACATCTGAACTCATGAACTGAAAGTCTTCTAGTGAATCAGGGTGAAATTATATTTTGCTTTTTAAAATGTAACTTTAGATCATACTTTATCCAGTTTGGAGCCTGCATACTCTGCTAAATGGAGAAAATATCTTCATTTGAAAATGTGTTTCTACACAGCTTATGTAAGTATTTATAACCCTGAAAACAATGTAAATTACTGTCTTTCCAGCCCCTGGAGTGCCAGGTCTGTCATCTAGCCAGACTCTTGATTAGCATTCTACAAATAATAGACAGCTCTCAGTAAATGTTCACCAACAGTGCAGCCATTGTGAACTGACGTGGGTGGAAAGAGATGATGTAGGATTGTAGAACTGGATTATAGCAATGGAATTAATATTTGATTTAGACCCACTTTTAAGCTGGAACCTTCTGCCTACTGAAGAATTCTCTCAGTTGTTCCATCCTGCACATGAGAAAGATATTTACTAATTCTAATCTTAAAGCCTACCACGCAGTGTGTCACCTGGGTTGGTGAAGAACCATTAGTACGCACCCTTTTGGAAGTTACTTATCAGTGTATTATACCCACCAAAAAAACTTAACTTGTTTTGTTGATTAGAATGTCATGTGAAAGATAATCAAAACCCTTTTTGAGATCCAAGTGGACATATTTATTTCTTATAATCTGTTTTCAGGCATCCTGCGTAATACCATGTGCAATCCTTGCATTGATAGAGACATTTAAAGAGTGAATATATTGGGCCAGCCCTGGTGGCCTAGTGGTTAAATTGGGCGGGCTCCCCTTTGGTGGCCCAGGTTCAGTTCCTGGGCACGGACCTACACCACTCATCTGTCAGTGGCCGTGCTGTGGTGGCGGCTCACGTACAAAAAAAAAGAGGAAGATTGGTAATGGATGTTACCTCAGGGCAAATCCTCCTCAGCAGAAAAAAAAAAAAAAAAGAGTGAATATGTCCTACTTCGGGCTCAGACATTTCTCTTAAAACCTTGTTAATCCTTAACCTCAGAATCCTCCCTCTCTCCCTCCCCCTCTGCATCAGCACAATAATTTCCCTCCTTTATCCACTATGCCCTAATTTTAAAAATGGGTTTCAGCAAATGCTTTTTGCTCTCAGTCCGTGATTAGAAGGCTAGTTGGACTCAAGGCTTGACATAATTCCACTTTTTATATAAACAGAGAAGGGGGAAAGCTTACTCAAGTAAAGAAATGTAAGGGATTGCATTGATACTTCAAACAATGGACAAAGGCATTTATTTATCTGATGCATATGTAAAACAAAAGTAGTGGAAAGCATCATTTGGGGAAAGAATGAATAAAAATTTGTTTCTTTTATCAGGCTTACTGTTACCATGGTCAGACTTTGTTGGCTAGTGATAAATGTGGTGAAGCCATCAGGTCTCTCCAAGAGGCAGAAAAATGTAAGTGTTCCTGCCAGAGTATTAACTCTTTTTTTAAAAACAAATGTGGGCCGGCTGGGTGGCATAGTGGTTAAGTTTGGACGCTCCGCTTCAGCAGCCTAGGGTTTGCAGGTTCAGATCCCGGGCGCAGACATACACACTACTCATCAAGCTGTGCTGTGGCACATTCAAAATAGAGGAAGATTGGCACAGGTGTTAGCTCAGGGACAATCTTCTTCACCAAAAAAACCCCCACGAATATTGTATCATGAAAGGAAATAGGCAATTAAAAGAGATTGTGGCTGGGTTCATGAAAGAGAATGGGAATGAGTGAGGTAATTGGAGAAAAGAAAAAAATGTTTCAGAAACCCAGAACCCATAGAAAATACTCACCTTTCCCTTATACTCTTATTGGTGTTGCTGTTGTACTAGGCAAAGAGCAGTGAAATTTCCTACCATCTCTGATTTAAGGCCTTTTTAGTATAAATAATAATTAATTATAATCAAATGGCTTTGTATCCCCTTCACATGCAGTTTATGCAAAGGCAGAAGCATTATGCAAAGAATATGGAGAAACCAAAGGACCTGGACCAACAGTCAAACCTTCAGGACACTTGTTCTTTAGGAAACTTGGAAATCTTGTGAAGAATACACTAGAAAAATGTCAGAGAGAAAATGGATTTATGTGAGTACAGCTCAGTATTATTTAATATATAATGTGTAAATATTAATATTGTTTCACAGTTGCTGTTAGTCTCTATTCCCAAAGATTTTGTGTCAAATTGCATTTAAGTTTAGCATTAATCTTCTCTTTACATTGGTGATAAAGTTCACTTGTGTTGGATCTAACTTTTATTCTGCTTCTGATGATGATATATAAAAGCAGATTTTAAAATTTCAACATGAATTATTAACATATAGCCCACTTATACTGTCCTAATTTTCTCTCTGTTTCCCTGCCATTCCTTCTCTGTATGTTATATATATCTTCTCAACTCCCTTTGCATATTCATCTCACTCTGGTTTCGGCTACCTGTCAAGTAGAGAAGTTCATTTTCTGTCTGTCCTGCCTAGTCCTATGAAGCAGTTTTCCATTATTAAATCAGCATTGTTCAAACTGTAGGTCACCACCTATGGATGTTGGTGGAATCCATTTTGTCCCTGCTTTTGTCTCTTTATATTCTTCCCCTTATATTCTGTACCTTGTACTGAGCTCTTGAACATGGCCTGGTTTAACTATCACTTCCTTTGGAAAGCGTCCTTGAAACCCCAGATGTGGGTTAATGCCCCTCTTTTGTGTTGTCATGGCATTGTACATTCATCTTAGCTGTGATTATGTTGCATTGTAGTTGACAAGGTTTCCTGACTGTCTCATCTACTCATCTGTAAGCTACATGAGGCAGGAAAATCTTCTCTGCCTTATTCATCATTAAATTGTCATTATTTCACGCAGGGTCTTGAGCATAATAGGCACACAAATAGTTAACAAATGAGTGAATTGCGATTTAAATTGCTTTTTGCAGTTACTTTCAGAAAATTCCAGCAGAAGCCCCACAGCTGGAACTCAAAGCAAATTATGGTCTCGTGGAGCCTGTACCTTTCGAGTTTCCTCCTACAAGCGCGCACTGGACTCCGGAGACGCTGGCTGCCTTTGATCTCACCAAAAGACCCAAGGAGGACACTGTACGAGACTGGGTTTTTTTCCATTCGTTCACACAAGTTTAAAAAGAGAATTCAGAGTTAGCATTTTGATGTTTTTCTCTATTTAAATAGATATATGTGTTTGTCTAAATGTTAAATTAGCTAATTACATTGATGAAATGTGTTGTAAAACTCTCTCAGAGATAAGACCTCTAGGCCTCAATTGTCTTCTGATTTCCTACGTAATTGACTGGCATTGTTTTCAACACATTATCTTGCCTTTTTATAATTTGTCATTACCTCCTTTAAGAAGACTGTGGGAGAAAAGATCTAAAAAGGATGGCTCATCCGTGTTTATGTTACTATAGCGATACTCTCTGGTTTTGATTTAGCATAATACAGAGTATTTGAAGATTTGACCTAATTTCATCATTCCGTGAAATCATCCAGGGATAAAATAAGACTGCTTTTATTCATTTATATCTAAGTACATCTTGGTGTACTAAATGAAATGGTAGATTAAGTGGGAAATTTGAGATTTGACTAGCAAAAGATGAGGGATCTGTAAAAAAAAAAAAAAAAAATGCAGGAGGGGAGAATGAGAATTATTTTGCAGCCACATCTCCTTCCTTGAAATTGGATTGTTTTTGTATAATTTCCTACCCATACCAAAACCATTATTTCTTAAAGTAACTATCTTTGCATCCTGTTCAGCCTCTAAAATAATGCCCTAAGAGATAGCCTACTACCTACATAAAAGTCTGAAGTGGAAAAGATCTAGTGTTTGTTTTCCAAATCTTAGTGTACTGACACTGCCTCCTTCTTTCTCCCTAGAGCAAACCCAAACCAGAAGAGGCGGTGAAACCTGTGAAGGAACCAGACATCAAACCGCAGAGAGACACTGGGTGCTCCATCTCCTAAAATACACGGAGGCACGTGCACCGGGAATTTCTCTGCTAGTAGACGAGATAAGCCGTGGAACTCCGGTTCATCTTTCTTGAAATGATTTCTGTGAAGCCTATAGAGTGATTTAGTACATTCAGAGGGAATCTGCCTTCAGTTTATTTGTTCTTGATTTTTAATATAGTGGAGATGTTCCATGCTTTGTTTCCACACTCCTTTTAAGCAGGACAATGTTTGAAAGATTTTATTGTGCCTTTAAAGGGCATATTTAGGCGTTGGGTTTTTTCCCCAAACTCTGGGTAATAAGTTTTAAGTTAATATATTATAGGCTAGAATCATGTGGTTTCAGGTATGTTTTTCTATCTCCACAAAAAACATTTATTTTCCTTCCTCTTATTTGATACCAGAAGAATGACACTAATAGGTTTTTAAGAGAGACAGTTTTTTTCCCTTCATTATGTTGATTGTAGCACAGACTTGTTAGGTTCTGAATCAGTTATGTTTTCTGGTAGAAAAAAAAGTCATTTATAGTTAAAGATGAGAAAATCTCATACCAAATCCCTTGCATATGTTAGAATCTATGATTTTCTCGAAAATCAGTGTTTATGGATTTGTTGAGATCATTTAAGAACTTACTCCTATTCTGATAGCCCTGTACTTCATTTCAGTCTCTAAACCTGCAATGATTTTTACAAGTACCTTTTCTAATGGGTGTTTTTACTTAAAGGACAAAACTTTGTAACAACTCCTAGTGTTTCTATATGAGAGAAGACAGAATGAAAATGTTTTTGCAGAAGTCAAATATTGCATGATATAAAGAAAAAACTTTAAACCTAAACAAGATAGGTTGTCCTGAATTACACTGGTAACTCGCTACTTTGCTACAGAAGTTATGGTAAAATGCCTTTGTTACCTGATTTCCGTGAACGTTATTTTTGTATGGTTTTCTAATACACATATCCTGCCAAAATTGTATTGCTTTAGGCCAAAGGCCATAGCAAAAACTCAGAGAGCCAACAGATGAAAAATGATCTTAAACATAGCTTGTAATATTTGAAACAATTAGTTTACTATATACACAAACTTGGGAAACAGTGGATGCATAATACTTTAACAAAAGTCACACATCTGTAAGTTTATCTTCTTTTGATTATTCTCCCGGAGCGTTAGCTAGTTTTCCTTTTATAAATGACAGATTGGTTCACTTAATAGAAAAATAATCGTAGTAGCATATATTGAGAGCTCACTGTGTGCCAGGCACTCTGCTGATCACGTACATAGGTAAAACCATTGAATCCACACAGCAGCCCTGTGAGAAGTATGTAAAATCTGCATAAAGTGTTGAAATAGGAATAAACGTTTCATTATGAAGAATAAATAGATTATGCTTATCTGAATCAATATTGTGTTCAAATAAATGATCACTTAAATCATAGTTTACACTCCTGAAAAAAGCTACATAAGATCAGTGAGGCTTTTTAAAAAAAAATATGGAAATGCTAATAACTCCTTACCATATAATATTTAATATTTGAAGCTGCAGTTTCCAGAATAAATGAGTAATAACTGAACACTTAATTTTATTTTGCTGTCTATAGAAAAAATATTTTAAGTTTCACTGTATTTTGTCTGATACTACAAAATTATTCGTCAGTTTGCTATATGCCGTTTACTGACCAAACTTTAAACAGGGCTTGATGCCAGCTTCTTACTCTGCCTGTAGGACCTATTTATCTTAGGTACTAGTGCTTATTATCCTAGTTACTAAATTTTTACATTGACGTTTTTGTGGATCAAACTACCGTATTTGGAATTAAAACATGTAATAATGCTCAGTGCTTCTGTAAAATGCAGTAAATACTGGTATTACCTTAAATCCATAATTGGCAACTTTGACGAGCAGACAATATTCTGTTGACTCAGCAAAGGTAACACTTTGTGACTAAAATATCCCATTATACATAATATTGTTTGAAGTGGTATTGGAAATTTGGGGAAGTTAACAAATGTAAAGAAGTTGCATGAAGGTTATAGAGAGATGTAACTATTTGTGTTAACTATTATGTACATTTCATACTTAGTTTAAACAGGATAATGATAGCTAACCTATCCTGCTAAAAGTGTTGTTTGTATAATGAATTATCTTTTTATTTATGAAAATAAAAGTAATTTTACTAACAATTTCGTTGGAATTATTTTTATTTTTTGATAAATGTTTACATTTATTAAGCCAGTAACAGAGTTAATACAATGCAGAATCGTAATTCTTCACAGTAACATTTTAAAATGACAGATACATTTTGCATCAGTTGTTTCATGCTACATGAGTTCATGAAATATTCAACACTCCTTGACTGATCTGGTTTCTATTTATGTTTGTTGATACTTATCACCTCTTAATCTCAAAATAAGACTTCGATCAGCCTGCATATATCTTTCATAGTATTACCCAGTATGATGCAGTGTTGTCTACTGTGGCAAGCTAAGCTACAAAGCTTATCATTATTGCTATACAATACTCTGTAGAAAACTTCGTACTTTGGAAACCGAGGTGGCATTTTCAGTGCCATATAGATGTACTCAGAAATAAAACCATATTCAGAAATATTTTCCAGAGTAATTGTGCTTTAGAAAATACCACATTTCTTTTTTAATATGTGCATAAAAATAAACTTGCAATGTCACTTTGGGTAACCATAAGTATGTGTCTAAAGACTTTTTATTTGATATTTGAATAATTTTCTTAGAACTTAAATTTTTATTTTAAAATATGTGTTACAGTAAACGAAAGGGATTAAAATAATGTGGAAGGGGGTGCCTACTCTGTGAATTATAGATCAGAAAGCCACATTTGATCGCACTTACCGGAAAGGCTAGAGCTGTTACAATGCAATTCAGTGTGTGTGGTGCTTGTGATGTGCTTGAGGTAGCTGTGAGCTCGTGTCCTCACTCGTAGAATGCTCCCCAGGGAAAATGTTAAATCACCCAGTCTTTGCTTCGGATTCTTGAGTGCAGAGCCTCTCAACTAGTTTTCCTCAAGCTATTAATCTCAGCCTTCTGGGGCTAGCTGGGCAGGGCCTAAGGTGACTGGAGCTCCTAGGGTGGTCACCTCCAGAATTTCAAAGAATTTCCTACATCATCTGTCATGGTGTAGAAAAAGTTGGGAAGCACCCCAAAGGGACAGGTGTGTGTGTAATGTCGCTCTTACTGACGGTGGTTGGGGGCACGTGCAGGGTTTAATACTGAAAATATATAAAAATCCTGCTAGGTCATGTTCTGTCAGCAGTTCTCAAGGAGGAACAGTGGTTTGTTTACACATGTGTTTGTTTATTCATATTTTTCCTCGCTCTACCCTGCCGGCCCCCCCTACCCCCACCCGGTAGGGTGAGTCACAGATTGGAGTGGGCCAATTGCCTCAGGGGAAAGGGCACGGAGAGATTGGTAGTGAGCACTGCTCTGTGAAGTGGCGCTTTGGGTGTCCCATCTCTGCTCTCACCAGAGGGGTGACCTTCAGAGCACCTCAGGATAAGAGAGAAAGCAGGTGGCCGGCCCCGTGGCTTAGCGGTTAAGTGCGCGCGCTCTGCTACCGGTGGCCCGGGTTCGGATCCCGGGCGCGCACCAACGCACCGCTTCTCCGGCCATGCTGAGGCCACGTCCCATATACAGCAACTAGAAGAAGGATGTGCAACTATGACATACAACTATCTACTGGGGCTTTGGGGAAGGAAAAAGAAGGAGGAGGATTGGCAATAGATGTTAGCTCAGAGCCAGTCTTCCTCAGCAAAAAGGAGGATTAGCACGGATGTTAGCTCAGGGCTGATCTCCTGCACAAAAAAAAAAAAAAAGGGAAAGGGGGCAGCGGGGAGCACTGGCAGTGGCCCAGGTGAACCAGGTTAATTAGCTCCTGTGTAATTACCTGGTGCCAGTTCTTGGCTGCATTCTAACCTGGTTCATTTGAAAACATTTTTTTGATTAATGAAAACCAGAAGAACTCTAGGAAATTTTAGTTCTTATACCTTCCTGAAGTTAAATGCAAGATGTGGAACTAGTGTGTTATTTTGTTGATACCGATGACAATGCTGTGTTTCAGTGAAGGACTTAGAATGAAATGATTAATGTGTAAATGTAATGAGAAAAGTATTAAACAAAAGGTAGTCATTTTAACATCAGGAAATAAAGACAACTACAAGTCTGTCCTCTCCTTGTTTTTTCCAATCCATTGTGTAGTACCTTTTACCACCGATGAAAAAGAACTAAAAGTATGATTTATTTATTAAAAAAATACTGAATTCCAGCCATGTGTCAGGTATTGTAGGGGCAAGATATAGCAAGGTGCTCACGGGTAAAACCCTTCTCACTGTGACCGGAGTGTGGGGTAGGGGAGGGAAGGGAAGAGGGAGACAAACAAGATAAGAGAAATGGAGAGTATGTCTAATGATGATAAGTGTTAAGGAGGAAAAAATAGAACAAGAGGAGGGAAGATGCTGAGTGGTGGTGAAGGGAATGGGAAGTTGCCTGGAAAGATAGGGGAGCTCAGAGCAGACCATTTGAATTAAAGACCTGAAGGAAGCCGGGGTACAAAGTCTAAGGGAAGAAATACTGGTCCAGGGAACAGCCAGGACAAAGGTCCTGTGGGGGAGAGAGTGTGTGGTCAGGGAACGACAGTAAGAGGCCAGCGTGGTTGGAGTAATGTGAGTGAGATGGAGTAGTACAAAATGAGGTCAGAAAAACACTGGGGGCAAGATCTACAGCCTTGTAGGCCATTGTAAGGATTTGGCTTTTACTCTGGGGGAGGTGGGAACCCTCTGGAGAGTTTGAAGCAGACGAGTTGATACAGAACCAAGTGGGCTTGCCTCCTGGTGAGTTAAATGAGGCTCTACACCAGTGGAAGTTGTCTCACAAAGTAAAGTGTATTTGCAGCAAATAGGAGGCCATGAGGAATCATTTCCAAAGTCATGGTGTCCCTGAACAAAGGGACGCAGGAACTTTTATTTAGGATAGGGAATGAATATTCAAAAGAGAAAGGCGGGTACACTGCAGATTATGGTAATGAGGCTTAATCTCCTCCTGAAGAGAACTTCATATTAAAAATAAGGCAAGGTCATGGGCATAGCTCTTGTAGGGAGGCTTGTAGTTT